AAAGGCGAGCACACAACCCAATGCCAGGAGCAGTTTCTCAGCGGCCAAGCTCGGTGGCTAGCCACTTCATTTGCACAGACACTAGTGGGCGCGATTAAGAAGTGCTTACTCCAACACGCACTGCCGCGCCAAAAAACTCCACCTCAAAAACCCATGTGTCACATGTAACCGGCGAGATCCTGTGCGCTATATCGACACGCACCCGATTCACAAGGCGCCGGTTTTCAAGCCTTGCAGAAAGTACCTACCAACTCTAAACCTGCCCAGGCACCGGCATCAGCCGAGCGCTATCCACGTGTCGCATGATGAACCCCAGGACCAGAGGCAGGTCGTCACCAGCGATCACTGCATCAATCACCTGAGCAAATCACTAAACATCCAAGTGTTCAGAAGCGCTTCCGATGATCTGTGCCGGAGATGCGTTTCTTTTTTTCTTCGAAATTAGAAACAATACCTGCATGGTCCCAAGAGCGCGGAACATTTGTAAGAAAGTCTGCTGAAGAAGGGAGTTGAAACAGTTTCCCTGTCTGTCTGCTGTAACACTCTGCAGGAAACCTTCAGCCATACGGTGGCCCTAACAGCCTCAAAAAACGATCTGCATCAGCCTAAGCGCTGGCTTCACTGCCGCATGGACACGGCGCCCATCCAACCAGTTGGCGACAGCATCTGAAGCTGTCAACAGCAACGGCTGTCGGTGTGCCATGGCACAGCTAGTGTGCAAACACTTCTAGAAAAAGCATGCGCACTTAATCTGGCAACACTGCATGTCGGATTGTTTTGAACTCTGTGCAAGCCAGGACTTTGAAACCTTGGAGGTTTTAAAAGGCCTGCTATATTATATATATATGGTTACGAACCGCATGCCTTGCGGTGTCCTGATCGCTTCTTTGCGGAACTTGGAGGTTCTAAAAGGCCTGTAAATATATGGTTGCGAACCACATGCCTTGTGGTGCACTGATCGCTTCATTGCGGCAGGCTCCAGAGAAAACCGATGGGAGATGATCTCGAACTGTCGCTCACCGCAAGCTAAATAACTGCTCTACAGGTTGGGTTCTGGAGACAGTTGTGGCCCCGATGACTTCGGCTGCGGATATCAGCTCTAATTTTTTGTCCGAGCCGGCCGCAGCTCTGCTCTGGCCAAGCCTCAGATGGACCGGTCCGGTGAGTTTGCTGTTAGCTTTTGTGGTTTGCAATTTTGCCCGTCCCAGCATCATTGGAAGAACTGCGCCGCCACCCGTTGGCATCACAAAAGAATATAAGTTAGAAAATCAATGGTTAGTGCTTGAAAAATTCGTGAAGCGGCTCAGGTTCTGGATGCGTTTCTGAGAAACATCTGAAGGAGCTGCACAAGAAAACTGTTTGTCCTCAAATGACCCTGCTAAGAGAGGAGGTTTGATTTGGAAGAAGGGAGGGAACATGTATCGACAAACCATCCTAGCGCACGACCTCGCACAGTGCCCGTGCTTCGATGTTTGCTCCGATATGTGTTCAGACATCAAGTCTGGCATGTGTGCTGAGACGTGCCGTGACATGTTCTGACATGCGTCCGGCAACACCTGTAGGATGTATTCTGCCATGCGTCGATATGTTCTTGCTTGTGTTCTTCAATCTAGCACTTTGATTCCCGGCTTGGGTGGGAAATACCACCCGTGTTGCTGGAACACTATCTTTTCTAGCTGAAAGACACCACTTGTGCCAAGCTAGGGTTGGGATGTGTCACGTCCATTAAATTTAGGGTCGTAACATGATCATGCGCATGAAATCTTGCCAGTGTTTCGAAGCGCATTCTCTTCAAAGTACCTTTCTATTATTTTCTGGGAAAATTCCCCGGCCCAAAATGAGTCTTACCTTCTATGTGAGAGGTCCAAGCTGACCGGGGTCTCGCTATAGGGTTCAGGCCCTGGTGCGCAAACAGACCGGAGGTGGCCTACAGGGTTCAAGTCCAATGGTGCGCGCACAACCTGCCTGAGCCTCCTACATTGCACCGGTCCGGGCGTTCCCCACCGAAACAAAATCCGTCATGGTCCCAGCTGCGCTGTCGCAATCCTCGGCCATGCTCGCCAGTGGCAGCGCTCAAGCTGCGGCGCTTCAGCGGGGGCGCTCCAGCGGCTGCGCCCAACGCTGGAACATCAGGGCCACAGTCGCAATCCTCAGCCCAGTCACCAGTGGATTCTCGGTGAAATGAACTTAACCGACGATTGGACCTTCCGGTACGTTCCTCCGGCGGATGGGCCTTCTCAGGTGACTATACGTGACTCCAGAAGAGGCTTCGGAGCTGCGTGGCTGAGACCACGCTCTTGCATGTGGCGGGGAGTCGGGGAGGTGTGCATGGAGAAGCAGGAAATCAAGAAACCAGAGGTTGGGGAGATAGTGAACAGGGAAGTGGCTTATAACTTGTTCTTGGTAAATTCCTTTTTGTGTTCTGAGGCGGCGACTGATGCCGAGCAACCGGTATAGTCACATGAGGTATATGGATGAGGCAGGGAAGAATGAACGCGGAGAGGAACCTGGAGGAAAAGGTCAGACGTTCACTGTTCACCAGGTCTTTGTGAAAGTGCTTGCAACCGTCTCTACATACCTGATCATACTCATTATAAAAAGTAAATATATATATATATATACACATGTATATATATATAAAGCCAGTGTATATATATATACTATATGATGTTATTCTGTCGGGTTTAGTTCAGCTCTTCTTGCAACATGGAAGACGCCATATTCTTCAATGCGCCGTCCAGGACTATATATGCCTCTTGAGAACATCCGACCGGCGCCCCGAGAGAACCTTCAGTTCCAAGGCCCAAATCCAAAAGTCTAAAATGATCGAATCCTCAAAGGCCCTTAATGTAGACTGCTGATTCATAAACATTTCCATAAATGGGGAGAAAATTAAAACAAACCAAAACAAAACCTGTCGCAACCCCAACCGTTCGGCGCCGCTCCACCAAGTCGGTCCAACATGCCCCCGCACAAAAAGCGGGGCTTGACCGCGGAACATCGAAGCCACAGGTGCGTTCCACGGCCACGGCTGCAGCCAGAGCCACAGTCGCAGTCCTCAGCCACTGTCGCCAGCGGCCTCCTGGAAGTCGGAGAGCTATACCTCGCAAGCAACGATTTTGCTTCGAGGCCCAAGGAACTGTGGACGATTTAGACTTAAGTGTGAACTAATCGTTGAAATAAAATGGCGCCTTTGTACGCTTTGTAAAACTGGATTCTACATGTATTAAAGACGCCAAATGAGGTAGTAAGGATGTATTTTTGAGGATTTGATGAACTGCTCATCTTACGGCGCTTGTCCCTTATTATGGTGCTCGTTGGTATTCATTGATCTGTGTGCGCATGGAGGCGTGGAAACATTGCAGTAACGCCGGTTTAAAGAGCCCTGGATTCATGGTAGAATCAGTCATACACGGTCTTGTGCCCCCCAACACAGATCTATAGAATCTATGCCGCATACATTCTGAACGGGGATCTGTTGTCGCATGGCGTTTCAACGGCAGGTCACGAATGTAGATGTATAAAATAGTACAATAGTAGCCTCACATCTCTACTCGACTGAAATGTACCTTCTGCGAGCCTTCTCCTGACATTTCGGGACATGCCTAACAGTCATGGCTGAAGCCTTCCTTTTTTAGACGTTCATGACTCCAATGAACGACCAACCGGCCGACCAACCGACCAATGAACCCTGACCCGTCAGAGGCTTGGCAGAGAGGAGTGTTGAGGATCTCCTGAAGGAAGAGGATCTCTCTGGCCTCACCAAAAAACACGCAGGCACCGCCCATGGAGCCCCGGTCCATCTCTGAGCATGCCGGAATCGACAAGAGTTCTTTGAAAGACAACCCTGCGGTCTGTATTTACTGCTACAATGCCACCCAATTTGAAGGAGAAAGCTTTCCACTGCACAGGAAGCAAAGCTAAGTGTCCACACCTAGCCAAAGTAAATGAAAATCCTCCGTGACACCTCGCAAAAACACAATGGCACGAAGGCTCCAAATCAAGAAACGACCTAAGCGCATCAGAAAAATGCACTCTGGGAACTATAGGTCCTTTCTCAGCCTGCAAGCGCTAGCGATCCTGGCTATCTTGCTCATAGCAAAATGCACTCCGACAAAAGCCTATGCTATGCCAAATATCATGACACGGCCGCTTTCTTGGCAAATTGCTATCTCGCTCATAGCAAAATGCTCTGATGCAACGCAAGTATATGTAATATGCGTAACTCCAAAAAAATGGAAACATAGAAAACTTGGAAATGTCTACGCCATCCATCCTGTGATGCAAACAGAGCTGACGTGAGCCGACTACTTTCGAAACTTCCAAAAATCCGTCACTTGGCCGCGCAAGTGATCCTGTGTCTAATCACTTTCCTCATGCTCTTCTTCAGGTTCACTTGGCGGCGCCGCCTCTTCCTGAGACGGCACGGCTGCTGCGCTATCACCGCCCGGACGGGGCAGCGCAGCGTCAAGATCTGCGTCTGCATCACCGCCCAACGATTGGGCACGGGTGAGGTGGCGCCTTCGCGGCTGGAACCCCTGCACATTCAAAACCATATCAAGAACGATCCTTAGAAGCACCATCTCATAGAGGACATCTTTGCACAATATGGTTGGGACATATCCAAGATATGTTCTCTTGGAACGGCACGCCGCGATGGCTGCAATGGGGCCGGCATACAAATCAATGACTTTGACTTGGTCCGACGCACAAAAGCAATTGAACCACTCCAAGTACTGCTTTTCCTCTGCTTCCCACGGGTACACAAACCCATAGGCCAAAGGTTCAGGCTCCGAGCCCTCTACAGGCTCGTCCTCTCCATCTTCCAACGCCAGCTCCTCATCATGAAGGGTGTCACAGCCACCTTCACCTGCAAACATCGCCTCCAAGGTCTTTTTCGAAACTCTGGTGAGCAGATGGTCGTCATCTGACTTCATGCTGTTTTTGGCCCACCCTCTGTCTCTGTTGCTTCCCGGCAGGTCGCAATACAACCGAGGTTTCTCGGGGATAACCAAGTCTTTGGGTTTGACGCACCAAACGGTTTCCAAGGGCTCCGGGCAAATCACACACGATCCCACTGGTGAAGCTTTGCGCCTGAAAGTGGGTGAAGCATAGCCCCCATCCTCCCATTCCCCATTGTGGTAAAGCAGCCTCAGCGCCATCACCCGGCGCGCTGGCCACAAAGATGAGCGCAAGCCCATGGGCTTCACCAATTCTTTCACAAACACCTCCCCAGCTCTTGGGTTGCGCCCGTCATGAAACAAGAGAATGTCAGTGGCTTCCAAGCCAAAGACCTGCTTGTCATCCTTGACCTTGGGATCGCCAAAAAGGCGGTGAATGATGTTCCGGTTCTCATCCTTTCTCACGACAGGTACATAGCGCCACGGGTTTTTGAGGCCGCTGCCATCTGTCGGGGTTCGGCTGGTCTTCAGATCAATTCTGAACAGCTTCGGTCCCTCAGGAAAGCTCTCCAAGCGCCAAGCACCCGGGGTCGGAGCTACCTTGAACTGCACGTATGTGTTGCGTCCTTGGCGGGTCAAGCAGGCAGGGGATCCACATGTGGCTTTGCAAAGTAATTCATGGTTTCTGTGTTTAAAGGTCGATGGTGATCCCTTCCACAAAGCTGGCGATCAAAAAATTGACCAAAGGCCTCCAAGGATGCATGCGTGTCTTCCCTACAGCCTCGCTACATTGACACTTTCCGGACATGAAAAAGGTGGCTTTGAAAATCGGACACAGCTAAACGCGAGAAGCGGAGCTTGGCTTCTTCAACCAACTGAACAAAGGCAACATCGCAGCTATTCTTCTTCAAAATGTCGATGAACAACTCGGACATGGTTTCCCGCAGGAGCGGGAAGAAGCTGAGACGATCCAAGACATCAGGTTTCTCCTTCAATGCTTGCGGAATGCGGAAAACTGCAGCCGCGCAACGCATGATGGTGGCTATAAATTCCTTGTAACATTGGTCAGCTGTCAAAAACAAACTTGGGGCGGCTGCGTGGCCACCAAAACAAATAAATCATGGTCGGGTTTTCGCGTATCTTAGCTGATTGGAGCACGCTGTCCTCAATGACTGGCTCCATGGCATCAAGCTCCTCAGGCTTATCTTCATCATCTGGACCTGGGGCAGCTTTGTCCTCGATCACGGCAGTCTCAGGCTCAGGGGTCGGAGCTGGAGGGTCCGGAGGTGGAGGGTCTTCCTCAACCCTCTTCGGCTGCCTGGCTTCCCGCGCAGCGCTGACGAACTCATCCTGGTCATACAGCCCGAGCTTTTTGAAGGAAGCGTCGAGCAGGAAAGCCTGTGGCACGTCGGCAACGTTTTCCACAATTAAGCCACCAGCCACCCCGCAACCCCCACCCCCAGAATCACGCACAGAAGCTGATACGTAAATTTAATTTGGGGCGGGCAGGGGCGCGCGCAGGGAAGCTTACGCACACCCTTTGCAAACACGTCTTTCAACACACAAGCTGGCCTCAGCGCTCATCAACGAATCACGGCCCAGGCATCCATCCATGACGGCATCCAACTCCGTAGCCCCACGTAGCACCAGAGAACCAAACAAAAGTAATCGCTGGAGGTACTCATCCAGCCGCCCAAACCAAGCAAGGTTTGCAGGCAGCTCACTGTTCAGGCCAGACGTCCTGAATCCTTCCATGGTACCAAGGACGGTCTGCAACACACGGCTGGGACTATACTCTGGCGGCAAATCTGAATGAGATGCTTCACTGTCACCATCAACACCCTGGAACTTCTTGGAGATGTATCCAACGATCCTGCGCTTCAGAAGATATCGGTGAAGCAGGGCTTTCAGACCTGGGCCAGTGACATCCGCGGCCACCTTCCCTTTGGTCACCTCATAGCAGAAGCATTCCAAGACCCACTGCAACAAACTGTTCTGGAGAGCAGGATTCGTTTTGCAGCTAGTTCGTTGGCAAAGGAAATCCAAATTGCTGTGGCTGTTGAAAGTGTGGTGGACGCCGTACTCGGAGTCCAAGGTTTCTACCAAGTTGCAGACTGCCGGGCCTGCCTGCGCAAAACGAGTCCAAATCTTGACCATCATGCTGATGACCCTGCCGGACATGGAACGGAGATTGGCCTGAGAGAAGAACTTCGCCAAATCCTCTGGCTCAGCAGCGTGCCCTCCATTTTTCAAAGACACCTGCAATTCTGCAACAGCACGGGCCCGCTTCAGGCCAACCAGCACCTGACTTTCAGCAATCTCTTGTGTCCGATCGGCAACCTTCCACTTGGAAAGCTCGAATTCTTCCCATGTGGCAAAGTATTGGAACTTCACGCGCATAGAGCGGCAGCCTTCCATGAAGCCCTTGAGGCTCTTGTTGTCTTGTCCATTTGCAATGGCTAGCTGCCAAGCGTACAAAAAGGACATTCCTTGGCTTCCAAGGGCTCGAAGATGCGAAGCAAGCGAAATCATAAGAAACAAATCTGGGTCCTTCAAGCAAGACTCTGAAGGCATCGCCGCCGCACGGCTCCAATTTACCAAACTTGGGCGCATCGGTTTTGCTGACAGCGCGAACTGGGATGGCTTCACTCCATGCCTGGAAGCTGTACTTGCCATCTGCGTCACCAAAGAAGTTCTGAGCAAGCTTCTTGATTGCACCTGCCACGAGGGAGCGGTTGCCCAATCCATACGTGAGCCAAGGACATCTAGCACGCAGAAAGGAAAAATTATATAGTTTCATCAAAGCATGGCATGTGCCTGTTGTTGGAGGCAAATTCGGATGGGCAAAAGTCAGGAGACCGATGGCATCAAAGCAAACTAGGCATTCATACGTGCCACTTCCGCGCATAGCGGCTTTGTACTCGCTGGTATCGAACGCGTATATGCCCCCCAAGGCGTCGAGCGGCCCAAGCTTGCACGCAGCCTGGTGACCAGCTGGGCACTTTGCAAGATATGCATGCGTGACTCACATGCACTTACTTCTCATTGGACTTACCGACCTTGGTACAAGCAGGCCTGAAGATTCCCTGACATGAAGCATTGCTTTTCTCAATGGCCTGGCTAATCTTCCACAATTGGAGTTGTCGACTAATGCACAGCAAAACGCGTGCCACAAATCCACGCCTCGACGCGGTCTTTTTCATATTCCAAGATTGAATGGTCTTGATGGTGGGATGCTCCAGCAGCTCGTGCGTCAGTGCAGCATCTGACTTGAGCTTCTTGGGCGAAGGTTTGGCGCCAGTCGACGCCGCTCGCTTGCTGGCGGTCATAACAGGCCACACAATTCGGGCCAAATGCTTTAAAACAAGCACATGCCCTCTCAGCTGCTACGCTGTTCCCAATACCTTCTCACAGACTCTCCAAAGGAAGCTCTTCATGCTCAAAGAGAAGATCTGCAAATGTCACGTACGGTAATCCACACATCTATACATGATTGGGCTCCCGGACCAATCAGGTCAGTGGCAACTGACGTTGGGCCTTTTGCAAGAACACTCACTTTCCAGGAATGAAAGCGCAATCCTTGAATATTTGTTTCATCAACTCCCAAGCACAAGCCCTCAAGCAAGGGAGATAGACATCTATTAAGCCCGAAGAAAACTCAACACCCGAAGTTTTGCGTCTGGCACAAAGGGCGCACATAGATCCCTATATATATTAATAATGAAAGTTCGAGGGATGTACCAGGAAAGCCTAAATATATTTTAAAAATATAAACCCCAAATATGCACTTCGAGACGTTCAAGTGGAGATAGGGTTTGCCGGCACCGGCAAACCCTACCTCCTACTTCTGAGCATGTATAGCTGGCATTCTGGACCTGCCCTTGAGATGAGGCTCTCATTCCAAATGCCAGCTATACCAAAGAAACCCGGCAACTTGAGGTTGGACGGTGCCGGCAAACCCCAACTCAGCAAGTCCAACGCAAGCAAAAAGATAGGGTTGAGCCTGGGCATCCCTGCCATTGTGGGCAAACTAACGAAGGAGCTGAGGCAGACCTGACAAATCTACGAAAAGGCTTAGATGAGGGTGCAGAAAACAAGCCTTGTCAAATACCATGCTTAAAGACTCTGCACCCTAAACACGAATGCCGAGGCCTTCAAGCGGAGCTAACTCCATTTTACTCATTGAATATCGAATCCTTCACTTGGAAACAGAGTTCGACGGTGCCAGCAAACCCTATATCTCCTATATCTGAACATGTTGGCCAAAAAGGCTTTGGTGAACGTCTGTGAAATTGCACAACACACTGCTAATGTCTCGAGCGTCTGCACTCTTTCAGGCCAAGCATACCGGTGTATTCGACCAGCGTATCAATCTAGGAGAAGCCTAGACACATTCCCAAGCATGGCAACCATCATGACAGCTATGGGCGCTGGAATGACTTCTGCGCTGGCAGCTTTGGCTGCGTTGCGTGTCAACAAGTTCAAACATATGCCTGTATATCCTTTGCAGCACAAAAGCTCCAATGGGGACAACAGGCGCAAATCGGAGGGGTGATGACACAAAACCTCAGAAGACGGTCAAAGAGGGGGAAGGCAACCTTCAGCCACATGATGAGACTTCCAGTTCTGGGCAGTAGCATCTGCCAGGAGTGGTACATCAGACTTGGCGGATCGCCGCGCCAAAACTGCTGCGTGAACGTGGATCAAGTGGCTCTGGGAAGGTAAACCTTCCAAGCCAGGAACTGCTTCAGGATGCTCGGAGGGAAGCCACTTGTGCTTGAAGGCCGTCTGCCAATGACTTGGTCCTTGGCTCAAAAAAGTCTTTAACCGATATAATTCTCGGCAAAGCCCGCACCAAAGATAGAAATTTTAATGCGTTCTTAGCTCTACACTGGCAGTTGTGTATGCACGCCCAAGGGGCGCGCATAAGGACCCTTATGCGCGCCCCAGTTGGCCCCTGTACAAGGTAAACCTCCCTGGTCGGCAACAAACATTTTAAACACCAAAAGGCCACCTCAAACAAGCTGCACAAAAAGGCTACACTTCTTTCTTTAGCCGGGCAGCGGCCATTGTCATCTCCATGGTCTTGCGCGCTGCTGGCCTTCTCGTTCTCGACATCTCGTTTGCGTTTGCCCCCGGTGTGCTGCCGCATGGCTTCCATCTCATATTTCCAAGTCGCTGACTTTTGATCAAGGAGGCACTGCAGCAAAGATGGGACTTTTGGAGCAAGAACATCGTTCAAAACACGAATGCCCTTCGTCCAAGCCAATTCCAACGGCTCAGGCAAATCCGGAACTGACCTGCAGGAAGCCGCAAACAACGTTCTCTCATCAGAAGCATGCACCTTGCTCTCTGGTGCACTGTACTTCTTCAAGACTAAGAACACTTGCTTGTAGCCGGGAAAGTTGGAGCGAAAAATCTCTTCGAAGTCGCGACCCTTCTTTGGAGACAAGTTCAAATCAAGCAAAAGGAAGTCCGGACAGAACTCTGACGACCCGAGAGCGGCCAGGGCCGCCATGTCATGGTCACCGAAGCTACCTACTAAGGCATCGCACTTGCTGGTCCCTGCGGCAAACACAGATTGAAAAGTGACCTTCGAACTTGGAGAACCGGCATGATAGCGAACCCTCTTGGCAATCAACGGGCATGGCATGGATGACATCTCCAGCCGACCATGCACCTGGCATCCACGAAGCTTGAGTTCCTGCCCCAAACCCAGCACAGACATCATGTACTGGGTAGGATCGATGGTGCCAAAGCAGCTAGCCACACTCCATCTTGGATTTTCTTGCTTGCCTTCCAGCAATGCACGATCCAAGTGCGCCCAGACCTGACGCATGCACTGTTCCATGGGCAAGGCACACTCGTTACCTATACTAGATGCGCCGGATGCTCCTGTGGCCAAAACCTGCATGCAACGTGACATGTCTTTCAAATGGCCTGAACCTGAACTCCAAGCAACTTCAGGAATGGGCCAATTACAGAAAGCAACTCTGCAATCACGGAGTGCATCTTTTAGCCAACGCGTAAGTGGGAGCAAATGATTTGGTCAAAATTGAGGGCAAGCCGTACACTGCCTACACATCTCATTGGGTACGCCGAAGGCAACCCAATGCTCTCAAAAACGGTGTTAAGCTAAGCGCAAGAGTGGTGGCTGACATTAAATTGCCAGTCAACTTTCTCAAGTCAGAATCGTGCAGGCCATCTAAATCAAAGGTTCCGTTGAAGCCATGGGCCCTGAAAATCTCCCGTGGAGATAGGAATCGACGTTGGCCAAAATGATACCATGAAGACGAAGTGGTGTGAGTGGCCAAGGCCCCCCGAAGAGACAACTTTCCCCTGTCACTGGATTGACTGATGTCTGCCACGCAATTGCTCAAATCCTGGTGGTGCGGGTGCGAAGGCTAAGATTGCTAGCGCTCTCTTCTGTGAGTTTATAAAAATTTGGTAGCTCTTTTTCAAAATGCTGAATGCTCGATCGCGCAACACCACCGCCCGCCTGGACCCCTTCCTGAGCTGCTACATGTGTGCCTATCAGCCAATAGACGTCAGCTTGTGCACGGGCCCAAGGTGTCTTGCTCTAGCGAGGCATGCGTACTGCTTGGGCGCTGCTCGCGTGGGCATACTTTGGCATCAGCCGGAAGTCGATGGTTGCTGATGGCTTTCTCTAAGGCTATTGAGAAGTATCCGAAATAGTCGGCCGTATCTTGGGCATCATCTAGAGCAGTTTGCCCAGCCCCAGCTTTGAGGAGTTCACCTTGGGGACAATCTTCCAGACATGTGTTCCTTGGAAGGACGAAGGATAGCGTCCACTAGACTCTAGACTGCAACAGTCCCTCAGAGATGGTCCTATATCTCAAAGCAGTACGCCCAAAATTTGCTACCGTCAAACAGTATCCAACAAGCTGCAAAGCATGTCGGGTCATACTTTTGATGGCAATTTGCAAACTCTCGAACTCTGAAGCCAACCTCTCGGCGGGATGGCACTCATCGCGACTGATGAAGATCAAGCACCGGTTCCTGCACGGCAAAACAAAGGAACTAACTAGGCAAGTTTCTCTGCTGGCCAACACCGCGCAAAATAGACCTATCATACCGGCAAATATTCCACAAAACAGGCCTGTCAGCTGGCAAGGGAAAGGCTGTGGCCAAGCTGGCTGCAACTGTATAGCCTTCAATGCCACGCAGTCGCTCGAGCAAAGAGTTCAGAAGCTTGTCGGAATTACCACCTCCACTGGCATACCTGGAGTCAGTTGTAAAAAGGTGCAGGAATTCTAACCCAGTCCTACAAGGCAGGCTTCACCACTGGGCATTTTTTGAGTTGGTTTAAAGGGAACGCTCTTACGCTACCGGCCACAAAATATATCCATCGCCGAGCTGCATCAAGCCCATGACATTTTCCAAGAGTCCAAAACGTGGTCGGCGAGCAACGATGTGTGCACACGTCGCTTCCCAAGTCGGCTGCTCCTTCAGGCTTACATCCTCTACAAAACGCTTTGGGTTCTGCACCGAATTCATGTGGCACACGAAAGAGCTCTCGAAAATGTCTTCGCACTCAGCCTGGTGAGCAGATTCAGGAACATGGCACGAGGCTGGCTTTGAAGCAGCGTCTTGGCCACCGTGAAGAAAATGCCATTTGGCTCGGAGAAGCAAGCCTGTTGATTCCCCGTTGCCAAAGAAAGAGCGCCAAGCTTGAGCGCCGTCAAGGTTGAATCTTTCGGCTAGGACCTTGATCCACTTCTCTCGATTCGCCATGGAAATCTCTTCAGACAAGTTGAAGGCAGCAAAGGCGTTGGCTTCCTGCGGCAGCTTCTACGACGCTTGGAAAGGGGCCATCCTCTTAATGTTTGAGGTCTGTAGAGATCTTTGGGGAGGCCAAAAGAGGTCCGTAGAGGTGAGCTTTTCAAACCAGAAGAGGTCAATAGAGGTCCTGCCTTGGCCTTGGAGAGGTCTATAGACTATAGAGGTCTGGGTGGGCCCAGTCATGGCAGCATCAAAAATAGACTTCACCATCTACACAAACAACACCACAGAAAACACAAGTAAGCCAAGCCACACGCACTCAAACCAGCCAACCAATGGTCAAACCAGCCGGCCAGAAAAACAACCACCCACACTAAGCATTCAACAGACCTACCCCCAACCGAACGCAACAAAACCAATGCAGCCTTATCTGACAAACAAACCACTTGCAAGCAGGCAAGCAAATGAACAAAGGAACAAAAGAACATCCGAACAACCAACAAGCAAGGAAACACAAACTAAAAAATGAAGAGCACAAGTTCAAAACACACGCACACACACACACGCAAAGCTCCTCGTACCCTGGAAAGTGAGACTGGACAAAGGCTTCAAAGATCTTGTAAAATTCCCTTGCAATCCGAAGTGGCTCACAGCGGGCTGGTGTATCCAAACGAGGCCAACGAATTGGTATCATTTTGCAAGTGGCCGTGCCCTTGCCACACCACACCATGCGCTCCTTGACCGCGCTCAAGACAGAATGTGTCAGAGTGGCTGATGCCTCTGGCAGGAACAGCCCTCCATCTGCCAGAAGAAGCTTCAACTCCAGCAAGACTTTGGCGGCTGCCGGTCCTTCAAGTGAATAATCCGACCTCGCTTCATCATTGACTTGCGCCAGAGGCCACGCAATCACGAGGGCGTCGGCGGCCACAGCCGCACCGACAACACGGCAAAAGCCAGCGTCTCCTCCGAAATCTTCCAGAAGCTTAGTGGCCCAGGCTTGGTCGCTTTCATCAAAAGGACCGCCAGCAGTTGCCACATCCTCCAGCAACTCGATGCAAATCATCAACATTTTGAAAAGCCGAAAAAGAGGTCGCTTGCGGGAATCAAACCTCTGTTCCCTGTAACCAAAGGAGCGGAGCACCCTTGCAAAACCAGGAGCATCTGATTCCGCTTGCTTTGCTTGAAATGCTCTTGCGAATTTCTCGGAGGTTTCCAGCATTCTCGCTAAAGATCTCTCGCCCGTCACTAACTTGCTCAGAAAGTCCTGGAAAGTTGATGGCAATGAGCCCCGGAACCCACGATCAACTGATCGCCAGCGATGGGCCCGGTCTCTAGTGATGAGTTTGCAACATGGAAAGAGGCAATCCTGCGCAGAACCACCTAACTCGCCAGCCAGGGGCGATGCTTCATAGAGGGCCCTCTGCTCTGTGTAGGCGCCGTCGGCAACCATGGAAACAACACATTTTCTGAAGTGCTGGTAGGTACTATCATCGAAATAGTCCTCTGGGCTCTCGTACAAAGAGTTTGTCCGCCTAGCTGCCACACGCACCATGCAAGCTCGCTTTACAACCTGTTCGAGCGACCTCAGCACAGCTCTACTAGGGTCGGGCTCATTAGAATCAGGCACCGCATCAGCTCCAAGGCCCAAAAAGAAGTCATGCAAGCCGTCCGGACCAAGGATGCGGCCATAGACCACCAGGTGGCCATGGCCTTTGTCTATTGCAATGGAGGCAGAAACTGCTTTCTTCATTCTTTGAAGGTCAACCAAATCCAACCCACTGCGCAAGCATTCAAGCATCTGCTTCATGACCTTGCTGCTGCCATCTCCACCCGCCATCAGAGCAGAGCCCACACTGCCGCCTTCAACTCGCCCAGTGCCTTGCCGGTAGCCAGCCCTGGCGACCAAAAGATCCACAGCTGAGACCCACCGATCAATGCGAGGGACATTCAAAGGCAAACCGCTTACGTGCCCGTCAACCTGCTCAGCGACCGGAGGCAACGAACCACAAGGCTCCACCGCAGCAAGTTTTTGCAAAGCTCTGACATGCCCTTTGTACTTCGCATGGTTCTGGAAATTTGCAATTTGGAGAGCCTCTTCTGTGATGCTCACTTTCAAATTGCCAAACGCTGACTTGACGCCGGCTCGGTGGCAAACATAGCAACCAACTTGGAGTGGCTCATCCAAACAAACCAACCATGTCACCTGATCACCCCCCAGCTCAAAGGTGCATTTGTGCTTCCAGGAACGTTCTCGGTTCGGAGGCTTCAAGCCGGATGCCTTCTTGGCCAACCGACCTAGATACCCTGCAGCGAACCTGCAGTGCAAGCACGCTTTGTAGCCCTGCGAGCAAGTGCTCAAATGAAACTGCAGTTTGGCTGCATCTTGTTGCCGCCCCAGGACGAATGGAGCGTCGCGAACTTCCAACGACATGAGCGTGTATACAAGAGAAGATGTATGTCGGTATGTAGGTAGGTTGGCATCTACGTATACTGTTTGTTTGTCTGTATATATGTGAACGTGTGTTTATGTGCGCATATACGCACATGAAAATATATGCACCTTTATTTGCAAAAATCATTTGAATTAAGGTGCATCATAGGCACACACCCCATGGTGCCAGCTTGATCCTACTTGAAAATTTGCAGCAACATCAGGCGCAAGTGAATGAAATGCAGGCGCTTTCGCTTTCCCGTGTCCAAATGGCTGTTCACATGGCACCCTTCTCCACTTCAGCCTTCCAACTTTACACTTGAACATATGCTACCACACCACGATCTGCGCAAAAGGCTGTTTCGCAAAGCTCGGCCAAGAACTGCCCTACAGCCCCCACAAAAAAATAGTAGAGAGCACATTGCCGCAACGCACCGGGACTTCGACGCCCACCTGGGGGTTGTTCAAAGCCAGCCGCAGGCCGCTCGCAGGCCGCCTGCAAAGCAAGCAAAAATGAGGAAAAATGAATTGAGGATAACTGAGGTGTGTTGGAAGGAGGAAACAAACCTTGACAACCATCCTGGGACATGACTTGCTTTGACACGTGTTTAGGCATCAAACCTGGCCTGTGTTACGACATGTTCTGGCTGGCATGCATTCCGCTATGCGTTCTATATGTTCTGGCGCCAAGTCTGCCATGTATATATTCTGACACGTGTACTGACACGAGTTCTGACACATGTTCTGGCACCAATTCTGGCACGTAATCTGTGTGTTGGCATGTGTTCTGACATGCATTCCAGCAAGATTCCTGGGCATTCTGACATTTATGTGTTCTGAACTGTTCTTGTACATACACCAACAAATTGGCAGCGCTTAAGTGGATTGGGGGGTCTAGTTACTGCCTGGAGGCTCGTAACAGGGTTCGGGTCAGGCGGTGCTTACAATGATTTGCGCTGCCACCGCGCCAGAACGAGGTGAAAAAGAGAGGAACACGACCATACCAGCTTACGGGCCGACTCTGGGTTTTGCCTTCAGGATGGTGTGATGCTTTAGCCACATGGAAAACTTTAATGGAGGATCAGGGCTGAGGCCTGATTATAAAATCAATAAGTTGTGAAGGCCAGAACAAGGCCGCCAAAAACTTTGCAAGGAGCCTCAAAAGATTGAAGTCAGGTGCCCTGGAGCTTCGATCTCCAAACATCCTTCGGTTCGTGCATTCTAAACATTCGCATTCTGACTTGCGCGAAGAACCCCTCCCCAAACCAACAACCAATTTCAATGGCATTCGTCCCCACCTGCCAGGAAAAGGTCTAAATTCTGCTTGCCTTATCCTCCACCTCTACAAGGTGAGTATTCATGTCAACACCACTCCGCCTCCACCAGCCTGTGCCTTCACCACCGCACGCCGCAGCTGAAGGTCGCCAGACGGCATGTTCACGACGGGTTCTTTCAAATATAAATGCTGTCATTCTCAAAAGACATATGGCTGCTAGCTGGAAAAATGTGAGAGCTATGATGAAAGCCAAAGGGTGAGTTTATTACTCCGTAGTAAAAACGTGTTCACATGGGCCGGGTATCTTTCTTCACAAAAAGGTGCTACAAACAAGCATTTCTGTCTTCTTTACAAGTAATGCAAGCCACAATCAATGATGCTTCCATATGTACATGTTGGAACATATTAAAAATATAAAATTGAATCCAAGACCGGTAATGAAATGTCAGTGCGGGTCAGTGGATTTGTCCTGCGGCACGCCGTAAAGAAAGGTGGGTGAAACGGGTCAAATGAAATAACTGACCACGGGCGTAAGTGGAGATTTCTCTGGATGACTGTCTTCACTAAGGTCCCGCTCAGCAGCCGGCGGCAGCAGCGCAGCAGCAGGAGTCGTTTGATGTGGTGAAGTCGGTGGCGTTGTGATGGGGGAAGGGGAGAAATCCGGTTGTGAATGTGGTGCTGGGGAAACTGCTGGTGATGTGGGTGTTGGTGATGGGGAAGGTGCTTGTCTTGGTGGTGCGGTTGGTAGTGGTGTGGAGAAGAGTTGCTGGTCCTGCTGACGTTGCATGTCTTTGAGTTCTTGCCATCGGGCTTGGCATTGCTCAACGGAGAAGCCCACTCGGCGTGGCACAGTGGTCCAGTTGGGACGAAGTTTGGGGTTTTCTTTGAGTTCGACCAGGCGACAGTCGGCGTCGCCGTCCCAAGCATCCCAGTCCGCCTGTTGGTTCAGTGGTGGTGGGGGTGGTTGCTTCCGCTTGCGTGTTGTGGTGGGTTGTGGATCTGGGGGTGTTGTTGGAGTGTCGTCTGAGTCTTTTGAGGGTGGTGCTGGTAAACGGATGGGTGGTCTGGATGGTGCTGAGTCACAGGATGAGGTGGTAGATGGTAAACGTATATGGTGGTTGGGCGGAGTTGGAAGTGGCTGAAAGTGTTGGCGGAAAGTGGGATCCGCTTGGTGGCAGTGGTGGAGGAAAACAGTGTGGAGGTGTGCTACAATATCTGTTGCTTGTCGGAGCAGGTTTTGCACCTGCGAAAGTGCCACTGCGGTTCTGTGTATGAGAGTTGAGGTGTCGTTTTGTAGAGGTGTCGGTGTGCTGCTCATGATTCTGAGATGTAGGGGTGTACAGTAGCTAAGAATCGTCACGGGTTGCTGCAGCAGCGCGCCAAAGCAGCCGGACAGCGGCGAGTCTGAGGGAGCGCGTCATCACGAGGCCGTGCATATGAATTAAGCGAGCATCAAATTCCCACAGGCAAAAGTGCGAATATGCAATGCCGGTTGGACAATCAAGTACATGAGAATCTGACATGTGAAATACTCCATCAAAACAGCCGTTACAATTCGAAGAAAGATGTTTACAGCAAACACTGCAGAGCTTGAAAAATTGAGGGTTCAAAATTCGCGTGGCCGCTGCAGGAGGCTCTTTTTTGCTGCTACAGCAAAGGTTGGGTGGTGGTGTGAGACCAAAAGTGGATGTGGAGGTGGTAGTGGTGTGTAGATGTGTGGTAGTGGTGTTATGGGTCCGGTGGAGTGGAGTTGGTGGACCAGGCCAGTCCTTTGACAATGGCGTGGTCCGGGTGGATCACCCAGCAGCGGCCCTTCTGATGAAAGACTGCACCATGGTGGTCGTTAAGGAGGCTCATGGCGTGTTCCTCACCTCCAGAGGTATATTTTGTGGCAGCACCCCAAGCAAGGAGTGTGATGATAAGGGAATGGGAATTCTTGTGGAGTTGCCAGGTGTTGTGGATGATGCGGGCAAGTTCGTTGTGGTCATGGGGTTGGTTGTGGGTGATGCGCACGCCCTGGGCAAAAAATCCAGGGTAGTTGGCAAAGTGGAGTGTGCTGGGTAAAAATCGGCCTTGGCGTAGAATGTTGGAAATGTTGCCGACGGGGCCTGTGTGGCCTGCGTTGATGTGGGCGACTTCCCGGTGGGTTGATGTGGCGCGGGAAACCGCAGGTGGCTCTGGTGTAGTGGCTTTGGTGTTGAGGAAGGGAAGTGAAATGGCGTAGTACTGGAATTGGTCGTATTGGTGAGTGGTGTCGTTCCACTTGGCGTGGGTATATTGTCGGAAATCGGTGATCTCCTTGTAGGTGATGTTGCAGTCTGTGAGGATATTGGCAATGTACTGGTGTTGTGGTCGGTTGGGATTGTCGAGTTGGGTGGCGTGGAATTCGAGCCATTCCAAGATTTGGTCTGCAGGTGTAAAGGTGTGAAAGTTGGGTGGAGGTCGCCAACGGTTGATTGGGCGACGGAGGACGGCTGTGGTGGGAAATTGAGAGGGGTCTGGGTTGGAGTGTTCGGTGTTAGGGCGTAGATCAATGGGTTGTGGTGGTGAGCGACTGCGGGATGGCGTAAGGCTGGATGTGTAAGTGGATGTTGAAGGCGACCGCCGTCGCCGGGTTGTGCTGTGATGTTTGGAGTGGCGGTGATGGTGATGTCGGCGGCGGTGGCGGTGGCGTCCTCTGTGGTGATGGTCGGACTTGCGTCGGCTCTTGTGGTGGTGGCGGCGACTGCTGTGTGGTGGTTGCGGGGAAGGTGGTTGCGGTGCTGGTGAGGCAGTGGTGTCAGGTTTGTCTGGTGCTGGTAGTGAAGATCCAGGCGCTGGTGTGGCAGATACTAGCGATGGGGATGCTGAATGTTGGGATACGGTAGCTGGTGGGGGCGTGTTTTGGACCGGCAATGGATTGTCCTGGGCAGTCGTGGGGATGGGTTGGATTGGTGGTGTTGGATCCGATGGTGGCTGCTGTTGAAGTGGAGGTTGGACTGGTGTTGAGGCGTTGATGGTTTGTGGAGGCGGTGGCGGGGGCAACGGTTGGAGTGGAGGCTGTGTGACGGGGGGAAAAGCTGAATAGGGTTGCCAAACGCCCTGGGGGATGGCGCATTGGGGGTCTGTGGATGGATGATTGGCAATCGCAGTCTGTTGCTGTGTTGGAGGGGGATGTGCCAGTGTAGTGGGGGAGGAAGTTCAGCCGGTGGTGTGGGATGATGTGGTGGCAACAGGTATGAAGGGGGAGGTGCTGCTGTCGGAAATACTGGAGTTGGATGTGTGGGCTGCGGTGGCACGTGACATGGTTGGACAAACGTCCAAGTGGATGGTGTGCCGTAGGTCAGTGCAGTGGCGGTAGGGTTGGACAAGAACGGTGGTGGTTGAAATGGTTGTGGTTGTGGGTGAGGGTATGCCGATGGTTGTGTCGGGGGAAAAGTGGGTGCAGTTGATGGTTGTGGCATCGGCCATGTGGGTTGAGGTTGTGTGGTAGGTAATGGTGGTGGCGTGGTGTGAGCGTAGGGCCACGGAAAATGCATGTCGTGGTCGTAGCTATGGCGCGGCGCGGCGCGGCAGCAAAAAGCAGCGGGGAAGTGCCGAGTTGTATTGTCTTGTTGTTGTTGAAGGTGTCATCTCTGATGTCGATGGTGAGTATGTTGTAAGGTGGTGCTAGATGTGAGCTTGTTGGTAGGTGTGTGTTCATGCATCTCGAATTAAGCTGAAGAGCTGTAATGCCCATCCTTGA